CTCTCTCTCTCTCTCTCTCTCTCTCTCTCTCTCTCTTTCTCATCCAATGAATTGTTTAGATTGAAAAAAAGAAAAAAAACGAACAGACTAAATTATTCCACTAAGTAATGTTGTTTTGTTATCAAAGAGAATGCATGCATGATCTATTGATAATATTACCGTACAAAAATAGATGTTTTTACATTTTAAAAATAAACAAAAGTACGTTTGGAAAGAAAAAAAGTTTAAAAGGAAGAAGAAGAAGAAGAAGAAGAAGAAGAAGATAATTTGATGGGTTAAACGAGAAGAGGAATGAGAAGGAAAACAAATAAACTGTAGAAAGTTAAAGTTCAACAAAATAGAATAAAGTAGTTTTTTTTTCAAATAGAATGAATTACCGTGCAGGCAGGTAGTACACACATACACATACACACACATACATATACATACACATACACATACATATACATACATATTATTGAAGAAATAAGCACATCAGTACCGCCCATTTCATCTTACCGCACAGGTGGTTTTCATGGTGATCAAAACATCCATCCCTGTGATTGAATCAAATTGAGCATGCATTTGCATGCATCTGTTCATTTCTTATGGGAATTTCAACCAAACTTCATCAACTTTATCCACTTTTGTCCCATTTAGACCGACACCGCTATATCTGTTTGTCTGTCTGTCTATCTGCCTGCCTGTCTGACTGTCTATATGACCCATGAACTTTAGACCTTTTGAGATGTTTTGACCTATCGAACATGATCCATTCTTTAATGATTGTTCTCATTTGAAGCATAGACAACAATACATTTCACTGCTTATTCCTGACAATCCCATCTAAACAAATAAACGGTAACTATTATGAAAAAATATTACGGTGTAATACAGTACGAATTGCTACAGTATGATGGCTTCTTTATTTCAATCTGACATGAAATTTCCTCGCCAATCATTTGCTTAATTTGATATTATTCCAAAATGTTTACTATCTAATAACTCGTATAAATGTAATGTAGCATAAGTGGAACTGATAGTATCAGATAACTTTTGATGTTTATTGAAAATGCAATCAAATAATCTTATCAAAACATAAAATAACCTCTCTGATCTCTTTGCTATCTGTTATCAGTAAAGTGTACGAATGAGTTAAGGTAAGTAATACTGCCAAATAAAAAATATTGCAGGGATAAATACGCTCAAATTAATGAATCGTTTGAATTCAATGAATAGTTTTGCTTACATTCCTTTCCTCTCATTCCTCGTTTTCCTTTTCAAACTTTTCGTTTTTCTTCTCATTTTAACTAAGGAATTATTTAGATAATTAACAAAATACAAGTATTGAAAACAACAAACAATCGATTGCTTAATTATCACATTACCGTATTTCATGTATAACCTGTGGAAAAAAGAAATGCAAATTTGGTGTCTTCTATCGCTCATTTCGGTTATAATTTGTAAGTTTTACCTGTTTTTTTTAAGATATTTCGGGGATACATTTCAAGGCAATGAATCAGTATTGTCCAATAATCGATAAATTCCATTCAACATATTAAATTGCATGATTCGTATTAAGTATTTGCGAGTTATCATTTTATCAGCTAAAATATTGTAAAATCCTCAGTTATTTTTATCACTTGGGTCTTCAAATTTCCCCATAAAAAAGGAATAATTTATTCCTCTGCTGCACTATATAAAAACAAAATTTGGCTAATCTATTTATTTTTTATTTTTTTTTAAATAGCTGTTCACCGTATCTCTCCAAATTGTCACTTTAATATCATTCTCTCTTCTTTCATAATCAAAATTATTTGCTGTTCATAACGTCGTGCATTGAATATTCCAATTTCCTTTCGTCACTCATCATCCATGCCTCGTTGTCATTGTTCCATGTCACATATAATAGTTGTTGGTAGGGAAGGGGAAGAAGAAAAAACAGATTGAGGAAAACATCTGAACTTTGGATGTACGTATGAGTTAAAATTTGGAGTGTGATAGGGATGAACGAAGTCAGCTGTAATCATTAAAATTTGGTGACAATCGCAGTGTTGAAGGACATCGTGCGGAGAAATGGGCGAATTGATAGGAATGAATCAACGAAGAGTGCAATCATCCGTTGAAGTACTTCCCGTTGGGGGACCATCAAGGATTTTCTTAACATTCTGAATCGTTCCATTAAATACATTTTTTTTCTTAAACAAGTTTTTTAGGAGGTCAACTCTTTCTACATTTCATCTTCATCTTTTCTCTAAGATCATAGTATTTGATAAATCTGAAGCTAGCGAAGTTTCTGAAAAGCTACTTGATTTGATACATCAATTAGACATCGTATTATAATGTTAACTGCAGAAATTGTATTTTCAAATCTTTCTTCTATCAGTATTGTTAACTGATAAGGAATCGGCAAAAAAAGGCACTTGCAGATTCCGCTTGATGATTCATGATGGAATTGCAGAATTTCAATTTAAAGCATATACATACAATTATATTTGTGAAAACTGTACCAAATATATTTGTCCCTACTTAATTTTAATTATTTCAAGTTTTCATCCAAACCGAAAAATTTTAAATATTAACTTTAATTTAGTTCCACTTTTGGCTCAAATTCCACCACAACCAATTGCGACAACAAATAGTGCATGCCTTAATGATTGCTTGAAAGAGGGATCGCTTGTTTTTGCTGCATCCAATCTTCGTAATTTTCGAAAAATTATCCTACACATCGAAGAATTCTGCGAGTAAGTACTTTCATTTGCTTACTTATTTACTTTATAAGCTTCTTCCTTTCATGACTAGTTATTATTTCAATTAATTTTCTTTTCAAATCCAACACTCTTCTACTTTTTACTAATGCTGAAATGATTTGCATAGGCATAATATACGTGAAAAAGTATTAATCAACCAAAAGTAATAAACGAATTCATTTTGACTTATAAGTTGGAATAATATCAAGTAGGAAATTGCAATTGTAAAATATTCACATGCGAGTAATTTTATTTAAAGAAAAAAAAACTCCAAACTTTTTAATTAAATATCTAATAAACCGGTAGAACAGAGAGTAGTCCTCTTCGATAATCTTTGATCAGTTTGAAGAAGATTGATGACCATTGGTTTCCTTACTTCCTTTAAACAGTTCCTTTCAATAAATATTATCGAGTTCCCCTTTTTTGTTAGCGCTGAAGTAGTACGGATCAGACAATGGACAGCATCTTGACCTCTAAAAATGGACAGCACCTTGACCTCTATTTTAACTTCCAAATCTTTCACGCTAACTTTGCTTATAATGTTCTTTTTTCACTAATGAACATCAGAAATTTGAACAAACGGATAAAGAAATAAACAGTTCAGTAAATAAATGTGATCATTTCTGATGATGGTCGAAGATTCATTGGTTCTTCAGGATGCATCATATTACTCCGTCGTGCCTGAAAGTTATTTTTAACCTTCATCTTCGTCACGCTTTCAATTAATCTTAAAAAAGTTTAGTCATTAAGAAGTTGATTTGATTTCGCTTTCAATTTTTTCATTGAAAATCAGTCTTCTCGTTTTCAATTACTACAAGTTTAATCCCATCTTATCTTCCTGCCATTTATTTCTGACACCAAAATTATCTACACAAATTAACCTGTCATTTCAAAGTGTTAAACGCTTGTTTGAGAAAACTATTGCATTTTTTCCTTTTCAAATCAAACGAATACTATGACGATGCGATAAGGAAGGAATTACGGAAGAACTTCAATTAATAAAACAATACACATGGAAGGTTTTCATACTGTAACTGGACATCAACTACCTTTTCTTCTCTCTCTCTCTCTCTCTCTCCCTCTTTGACCCTCTTTCTTCAAGAAATACACATTAGACTCTTCCTAAAGGTAGGAGGTCAAGTTGTCTAGTGATATTTAAGAGAATATTGTAATTGCAGTACTCGTGAGCAACTGTTGAAATGTATTCAATCATGTACTGATGAAGAGCGAGAAGAGTTGGCTAAAAAGACATCACTTAGTGAATATATTTGCAGTGATAAGCTAGAAGGTAAGCCAAGTATGGATAGTTTTAATCATTTCAGTTAAATCAACAAACTTCTTATCATTCATTACACTGTTATTTAAATGATCACATAAATAATAAATGTAATCTAATTCATGTAAAATTTTTCTATTAAAGAGTTTCGATTGGTAAAAGAATGTATGGAAAATCAAGAGGATATCGATAGTGTCAGCAAATGTTCCAACGAATGTGGACATCCTTCTGATGCTACCATTCAACTTGATTCATCACCTGCGGCACCTGTTAATCCATTTGCATTCATCGATAGCATTACGCAAGTTTGTCGGTAGGTAAATTCGGTAGTAATGTTGCATTCAATAATTTTCTATGAAACATTTTGCAGGGATTTTAACTGTTTAAAATGAATTTTCACCATTTTGTGGCTTATTAATAGAAGGTAATTGTCTTTCATAATAACAAGTTACTGTCGCTTTTCTTGGTATTACAGTACGATTGAATGTACCATCAAATGTTCCATAACGGAATCAAACAAGATATGTGCTGGAAGTGGTTATTTGTTTAGGGTTTGTTTGTCTTTCCTTCCAAAATATAACTTGCTCTCTTTGACAGTTACATTCTAAACTTCATTAGAAGATGACAATTAAATTATGTAGATTGTGATAGGATTGAAACGAACACGTTAAATAAAATTAAAACAGTTTAAAAAAAACAGTTTAAAAAAGTTTAAAAATAAAACAGTTTAAAAAAAACTTTGATCAATGTTACTCTCGGCTAAGTATCAATGTTTAAGTTTTACTATGCTAATTTAAGCCGAGTCATTGATTATTTCGTGTCACTGGTCATTCGAATTGTTTCAATGAAAAGTATTGCCCTCTTAAATAGGCAAAGAAAAAGAAGTGAAATTCACATTCTAAATAGCTTTACAATGAGATGCATTCAATAATTATTCAAAAATCCATCCAACAGTTTCAGAAAAATCTATAAAATCATCTCTCCACAAATTACCACTACAAACTTCTAAGCCATCTTCATAGAATCAAATCAAATTATCTATTATTACAGTAACAAAGTTATGGTAAAACTATATGATTACAATAAGCTAATCTATTAAAAGTTATGTAAAATTGATTGAAGAACCTTTATTAAAATAAGAATGTTTTTTTGAAGGATATTGGCTTCAAGCAAGTGCTAGAATCAAGTGACAAATTGGAAAATGATGCATTCAATTCATCATCGGCTACCCAACAATTAACAAAGATATATTTAGAATCACTTCCTAAGCAGTGTACTTTTATTATCAATCCCACCAATTACAAGACGGTATCAATAAAACTTACCATTTCCTGAATTGAATGTTTAATATCCTCATTACAACTTCATAGAATCGAAAAAAAATAGAAAAAAAACTGTCAATTCTTACCAGTCATATCAATTCTTGTTTTCCGTTTTCTTCGCTTTCTCATTTTGCAGACATTCGCAGAGCATGAAGCAAACGATGAATCCGGGATAGGGTTATCAGAAACTTCGGAGATTGAAAGGAATACGGTGAAACCGAGCAGTATCTCAGTTTGTTTACTGAATCATATTTTGCTACCTTCACTATATCTCTCGGATTTAACCGTAATTGTTAATACAATTTTACTGGCATACAATTTCAGGATGAAGAAAGAATGAAACAAACAACTTCAGAAATGTTTAATACAAATAGCGATAGCGTTATCACACGGATATTTGATGCACAGCTGACGACTAAAGCTACTGAAATGTCAAGAGATGATGATACAATGGAGGTGAATTCTTCTTTAAAGTGAAGGAAAGGCAGCATAAGAATATCAGAATCTTTCAGCTCAAATTTCACTTCATCCATTTAAGAGACATTTTAGGAGATTCCAACGATAAGTGTGTCATGAATATCTTGCTCATGAATATGTTAGTAGAATTTAGGAAATGGGAAAAGAAGCGGTAGAATTGACTGCAAAAGCGGAAGTGGGAGATGAATCTGATGTCGCAATGGAATCATCAACATTCGACAATGTCGCTTCCACTGTAGAAAGTGCTGATAGTCCATCTATGAAATCTGAAACATCGGTGCAGATTCAAACACAGGTTCTGGTTCTCACTTCTCTCATTAATAGACAGGTGCAGATGAGAATTGAAGCAATCTTGAAAGGTTACAATGTTTCCATCTTCCTGTCCTTGGCTTAATTCGTTTGACAGATTCAAGTTGTCTAACTGCAGCCAACAACATCGCATGAATCGCATGAAATTACGGAACAAGAAGAGGAAGAATCAACAGTAAGCACTGTAACAAGTCATGAACAGGAGGAGAAGGAGGAAGAGGAGAATGAATCAGCAATAATATGGGCATCTAAGAAAGAAGAAACTACAACGGTTGCAGTTCAGGAATCGGTGATTTTTTTTTACATTTACAATGACAATTTAAAAATTGTCAACTATGTCGATTATAAGTGTGACACTGTCGGAAGAAGGACAAAATGGGACATTTCAAATATTCAGTTCAAATATTTATTTTTTACGATCACAGAAATGGTAATTATGGGTGATTTTGTACTAATGTGGTATTATGCACTGTACAGTTGCATGGTAGAAAATCAGATTTATCTTGAACTCCGTATATTAATTAATCTAATTAGTTTAACTGAATAATTAACACAGGATGAAAAGGATGAAGAAATAGAAAGTAGCGACGTGATGGCGCATTTACAACATCTTAGCACTCCAGCAACAGCTCAAGAGATGACAGAACGTACTATAGTAGTTGTGAACGACGATGAGGAAAATGAAATTGATACCAATTCCATTATACAACGTACTGCCGCTGAACAAAAGGTTTGAATCATATTTCCGCTTCTATCACCAGCATTTTCAATATCAACTAATTCATCTGATAGCTTCATCTATCCTCTCAAATTGAAAAATGGAAGCTAGAGACAATAATTACTAAATAGGAAATTCAAATTAAAACATTCCATTGCAGGATGCGACAAAGCAGGGAGTATGTGAAAGGATCACTTTATCATTACTACTGATCCTTCCTTCAATTTCGTTGTACCTTTCCAATCAGTTAACGATGCATGTAATTTAGTCTAATCTAACTGTACATATAATTCAATTTGATATGTAAATTGTGTACAAGATGGTGAGGGTAGCAGGATGGAATGAATAGAAATGGGTAGTTTCCATGTTAACGATTCCTTCATATGATTTTAATTTTTGACGACATCATGCAATCCGATGTTTCTTGGCGACATGCGTACAAATGGAAGATTTTTCCACATATCTTTGAAATGATAACACCACCTCGTTTTTTCTTTTCCATTTACCTATTATACCATCCCATGTTGCAGAAGTTGACATTCTTATTAAATTTGATTACATCTGCTAATATTTTCGGACTAACTACAATGAGAATTTTGGAGGTTTTCACTGTAGAGACTGTTACAGTTAGCGTTTATTAAGCATGAATATATCAATTAGTCTTATTTTACCTCCCTCCCTCCCTCTTGCCCTAAATTCCTGTAATCGCAAAAAAAAACCCCTCCTCTTCCAGTTTGTACCTACGATGCCTTTAATAGTTGACAATAAAACTTTATGGCTGAAATTTTAGCACAGAGAGAATAAAATGACTAATTCTTAGAAACTTATTTGCACATTGTTACACAGAATTGGCTGAATGACAAATCGCTTATCTTCTCGAATTCCATATAAAAAAGCAAGAGAAGAAATACAGTCGATTAATGGAATTTAAGTTTCATCCTCATCACGAAAAAGCTATGACTAATATCAAAGATAAACAGAAATTATTCAGTCATAAAGAACAATATTGAAAAGTGAGAGAAAAACCAAAAATCAGAAAACAGTGGGAAAAACAAATGAAAAAAAGCTGTTTCAGCATAACACGAGAAGGTTAACTAAGATATGGTGTTGGAAAGGGTTAGTGGTACTCCTCCCACCAATAATTTTAAGAGTCAATAACTACTCGAAGGTTGAGTCATAAACATGTATTGGTATTGGTGCCAGGTAATTTGGTATGAGCTAATGACATACGTCAAGTTGCAAGCTCGCTAGAATGTTTTCTCCAGAATAATGGTAACCTCATTTATTCTACAACATAACACACATTTCAGCAATTAATGACAACTGTAACAAAAGCTGAATACCAGCATGTATACTTCTCGGAAAACCCATCAAGATCTGAATCCTGAAAATGCTATCAAATGTTTATTTCTATTCCAATGCTTACCAACTTTATAATTAATGAAAGTATAATTTTTACTTATCGACGTCAAAGTGAACATATATTTGTCATTGTTGATGTCTGACGCGTCGACGCTTTTCCAACTTCTTTCTCCACCCGTTTTTATTCCCTTTTCTTTTCTCATTAAGGCCAAATTCGACGACACCACTGCACTGTAATTCATCTCATCTTTTGTTAGTAATTCAAATTATGTTACTAATCAATAAATATTGACAATTCTAATAATATGCAAACAGTTTTTTCTATACTGTATGTCTTTTTAACTTGGACCTTTCCAACTCACCACAATGATCATGACGAGTAGATAAACAAGATAAGCGTAATTCATGCAATCACTAATCAATTTCAGCGGAAAATTATCAGTGTAAAATAACTCATCCTCTTACGTACTTAGGATTCTTTTGTGTGGTTGACAATATGGAAGTTCTAATCATACAAGCAAAGAAAAACATTTGAGAAAAAAGGTTTACCTTGTCGAATGGCTTTCCATGTTTTAATCTGTTACGTTTTTCCGAAAGCTTCTTTCCCGCCCTTTTTCCTCGTGCTCGTCGTCTTTCTATTTTTGGTTCATTCATTTCCTGAATACTACAGTTAATGTAATACAACCATCTCTTGTATAATAAATCATACAACCTCTCTTCCTACTTCAAGTGAGTGAATCCAAAAAAAAATCTTTAAGAAGATGCAAAATTCACTATGAGCTCAGCACCAGCATCGATGGTACCTTCAGGCGCCTCCGGAAGTTGAAAATCTAAATCGTCTAAATCCGACAAGTTAGTAAGACCACTACACGTTGAGCCTAGATCCGTCAGAGTGCCTTGATCGTCATCATCGCTGTCGCCATTACTATTATTATCAGCAATATTCTAAAATAACAGAAGTATTGCCGTCAGTATCAGCAGCATTCCACAACAAAATGATTTCAGTAGTCAGAAACTGAATGATACATATGTATATCTTCAGAAAACATGGATTCACTTCCTCTGAAGCAAAATATCTCTCAAATAACTTGCGATATATAGATGGAAACTGTTCAAAAAAGCTAGAAATCTTGGAGTTTAAAATAGAGTGTAACTGTAAATTCAGAATTACACTTCTTTCCTCATCGTCAATATCATTCGAACCGCTGAATTCAACCGCCGCTGTTTCCTCTGGACACTGAAAGTTTTTGTTTTTATTATGATACCAAGAGAATAAAATATGCTCGTGTTTGTACACTTTGCTTCAGGTCTCGTCATATATCAGCTAGCAAACTTTGACAAGATGCTATCAGATAAGATCACATGTGTAGTTGCTTTTTCTAAATACATCATCAGCAGATACAGTTAAAAATTTTAAACTGTGTAATGAACAAATCTTTACCCGATTTTCGCATTGCTCACGTGCATTTTGCAATTCACAACCCGGAGGAAGAACATAGTAAGGTAAACGACCTCGCTGAAAATCATTCAGCACAATTTTTGCCGCTGTGTTCCAGTCAGGTTCACCACCCTAAAACAACTTTTATGCTTAGTCCTCAATAGAAAAAACTGACAGGAATGACATAGCATCAAATCAGAACCGTTCCATAATTTTAGCTTGGTCATTACGAACAGCAGAAATGAAAAACAATTATTGCATGAATAATTAGAACAGAATGCTTTTACCTTTAACAATCGACCCGTCTTGATGCAAATTTTTGTCAGGAAGTCATACATATCATTCCATGAATCGATGGAATATGTTTTCAGCAGATATTGTTCCCTTACTCGATCCAGAACACCTTGTACATGATTAATTGGATCCTTCACATTTTCAACACGTACCTATAAAATATAGTTGCATTAAAAAAAGAAAAAAAAGAAAAGAAAAACAAATCAATCAGAGGAAAAAAATTTCCAACATTGTAACTGCACATTCGATATTACAGCTGTGTGTGACATATTGAAAAAAATTGTTCTGACAACCTTGACAACCGTTTACTTCACTTGTTAATTATACTGTCATTCGAGTCTTTGAGTTTGGGAGAGTAATGAGTTCAATTAAAGTAGAATATGCGGTGTTACAAATACTACCAGTCCAAATAATCCCTTATTTCAAAAATGATTTAAATATATATAAATATTGTTTTATAACAACAAATCAAGAGTCAGAAAATATTATAGGAAAAAATAACACTATTACAGAAATAACACTAAGATTTAAAATATTGGCAAAGACAAAAATTTAGACTAACCACTCCTTTCAAGATGATTTGGGTCTCCGAATCTCCTTGTGGATACACAACACCTGGACAGTCTATCATATATATACGTCGCATCAAACTAACGTACTGCCAGACCTTAATTAGTGCTTTTTTAATAGTAGATAGAAATACAAAGCACCAGATGGCTGAGAAAACGAAAATATTGGTTTAACAGATTTGGAAACAAGGAAATCATAACGAAACTTACTTTAGTTTCACCTGCAATTGGAGCGGTTTTACATACTCGTTTAGCTCGAAGTGTATTGATTATTGAGGATTTGCCAACATTTGGATAACCAATGAAGCCAACGCTAATCTGCAATGCAAGTTCATCAATGCTTGTTATAATTTCTTGCTACGTATCATTGAAGAGTGGGAGAAAGTACCTGTTGACGATCTTTATGAAGATTTGCGAACTGTCTTAGTAGGTTGATTAGTGTTCCTTTGCCAAAAGAATGTTGCATAGAAGCGTGAAAGGCAACTGTTGGCAATTCTTGCGACAATAACGTTAGCCACTTCTTCTGAAAAAAAAAGCACACTTTAAGATTTCATAAGATCAAGAAATTTTCTTCTCTAAGCCAATAACAGTAATAATACCAGAAGCAATACTTAATAAAACATTTTGAGAAGTCCAGCTCTGACCAATTGTTTACCATCAATTGTTACATCCTCTTTGACGAAACAAACAAAAGTTTAGAGGAAAAAACATAGTAGGGAAAGTATAAACCGAAAAACAAATAATATACCGTGACCCAGGTTGGCACCAGATCGACCTTATTCAGGACCAAAATTAAATGCTTATGGGACTTTTCCTTTCGTAAAAACTGTTCAATATGGAGGCAACGAGTTCCCATTGGGTCACGTCCATCAACTACTTCCACAACAACGTCCGATGAGTCAATTACCTGAAATTTACAAAAAAGCTTAAAGAAATTATGATACTACAGAACGTTACACATTCCTACTGTTAAGAAAAAACCGACATGCAACTGGTACAAAAAGACACCTTGTACAACTCTCCCCAAACACGATTGCTTTGTCCGGCCTTAAACAATGGATTTGAATTCTCCATTGCTTCGGGATTTGCATTTTTTATCAAGCTGTTGTCAGCAGTCTCATCGTATTGTTCGGTTCGTTGAACAACCTCGCCGCATAATGTCTAAAAATATGAAAATCGAAACTCATAAGCTTTTGCAAGCTATCACGTGCATGCATAAAATAATCATAAGACAGCATACCTCAAGGTTTTCCACTTTCATCTTTGGCTTTTTTCTTAGAGCTTTTTTGCCGAAAGTGTATTCGAAGCTTTCTGTGTCAAGTATGTGAACGCGTTGCTGCTAAAAATATTTTAAAAATTAAGCCGAATCCATATGAATCGATGAATAACACTTAAAGTGGGTAAAGAGGCATTAAAGGCTAAATTGCATCATTTCAAATAGTCTCCCTTATATAACGTCAATTTTATATAATAGGTAAAAAAAACTACATGGCAATCAATTTTAAGTCTAAAAGGATTTCGTTTTTTTAATATGGAAAAAGAATTAGCAATAACAGTCACCTTTGCTTTTTCAGTCAACAACGAAATAGGAAGCTTGGTTTGCCGCATAACTACTTGGAATGGATCTTGCAATGCCTTTCCCAAATTCTCCTGGAATTTTTGCAGCTGTTCCTGTCCAACTACTCGAGTATTTCCTAAATTTAACAAATTATTTTGAATTTCTCGCAAAACTAATGTCTTAGCAGCAACATTATCATATTTTTCATCGTTCTGTTCACTCTGCCTGCATAAATTCTCCTAAAATTTAATCTTCACACAGCACATATACGACACACATACACAAACACATGCACACGCACACAAAGGAAAGCCAAAAATGAAAATGGAAAGAACACATCCTTTCTTTTCTGTTTCTGGTAACAATCTTTGCCCCTAATCCTAGCAATAAACACTTTTGTTTTCATTTTAAATACTCTCCTTCGATTTCATCTACGCAGTGAAACGAATATGGTGTTTTAGCGAATATGATGTTTTGTGTTTCATAAAGCGTCTGAAAAAGAAAAATACACTCACCAAACCATTTTCGATGAGGTTCAACTCTGGCAACTGTTCCAGAAGATAGCTTTTCTTGATAAGGTGCAGCTCTCACAATTTTTCCTTTGGCATCTCTGCAAAGAGATTTAAAAAATTTGTAAATCTGAGGTGAATATTAGTAAAACAGTTTTGCTCCTTGCGTAAATTTTTTATGCATGACTACTAACCTGACGGGTTTGAAGTTTTTGTACATGCGTAACCGATTAATTGTAGCTCTGGAACGAAAATGGTCGCCTTTCGCTTTACGGTCTGCAATAATGGACCATTGAAATCATATAAAAATAAACAATCCTAAACTGTTATAAAGATATCATCTCTAGTTCATCAATTTAAATGCATTGGATAGTCTGGATTACTAATTTCAGAGCAGTTAATTCTGGGACCTTACTACTACTTCTTGGGTGATCCGGGCGCTCACTCCTAGACTGAAAAGCAATTCACTAATTTCTCTATCCGGAACTTTAAACGTTACCTGGATTTAAACTGTGCTCGCCTTTTTTGAACGTCAAATTTGTCCTTGCTCCTTGTGTAGGTCTCACAAACTTCTTGTTTTTCATTACCGAACCCGTAGAATCAGAACGACTCTTTTTCAGTGATGAACGTTTTTTAGCCATGCTGCTTGCTTCTACAACAAATTTAAAAATAGAGAAGTAGAAAAATAATAATAGCAATGGTTCTACAATAGAATAGCTCATTGCAATGAAAGCGTCACTGCTTTCGACGGAACCGCAAGCGAGTATATCACTATTATGCTAACTGAAATGATAGCACAAAGTATGCAAATAAGGGAGTGAAAAAACCATGTGAATGAGTTTTTCGATTAAAAATCATAATATTTTCTAATTTGCACCTTCTTACGCTGCTTGAGGTATAAAAGGGAAACAAGGAACTGAGAATCGCAAGATCTACATGTGAAACAAAAATTTTATAAAAAGGATCGAAACGAAAAAAATCAGCAAATATTAGAAACATTGATAGAAACGATCATAATTGGCACCACGTCCATACTTCTACGAATGAAAAGAATTCACGCGATGAATAACAGGAATTACAGTTTGCATTTGCATACAAACAGGAGCGAATAATATACATAATATACAAAAACAACTAACACTAATTAAGTGGGACAACTTTATAATACTTGATGCATAGAGGAGAAACAAGAAATCAAGAATCGCAAGATATACATTTGGAGCAATCTTCTTAGAAAAGTATGTCACAATGTTACCAACTTAAGACTTAAGTTAACCAAACCATACCCTTCAAATTTTAAATCGACTTTAAATCACATTAAAAATTATTTGAAAAGTGGCCGACAGAAAATTAATGAACGGAGAAAAAATGTCAACAATAAATAAAACAGAAAATTTTTCAGTTCAAATTAATTTCAGTGGTACTAGAAATATTGGGAGAGACGAGGATGTCATCCGTATTATTGTCACCCTCTTTCAAAGCTTGCCGCTGTTGCTCAATAGCTGATTCCACTATCGTTTTTTGTTGATGTTGACTTCTGCGTACTGCTTCTAAATAATCGTCGTGTTCCTATAAATTTCAATTAACGAATTATCAGAATATACTTTAAGAGAAACAATCAACTTCTGACTACTTTTGTTTTTTGCCAAAAATATTGGGAATACAAAGCAATTTATTTGGTGATGAAAGTGAGAGAAATTCCTATTAAATTGAAAGTTTTTCAGTGAACCACTTCAAAAACTAAAAATGTTGCACAAAGTGGTCAAGAAATCAAGAAGCAACAAATGATTACCTTCCGATAAAGAGGAACTGTAAGTTCCGACAAGGCAGACGTCGTTTTCTCGATCTGTTCATTGAGCTGTCGCAAATCATCTTTTGCCAATATCATTTCCAAAGGAACATCTGCCGCTTCCACTAACTGTAATATAGTCACGTAATATACTCATTATTGATTTGAGGCAGCTAACCAATAAGAATAAATAAATGCTGGAGAATATTAGTCTTAGGAAATACACAATTTCTAATCCGAAGGGTGGTCGGAATTTAATAAAATTTACCAAAAAACCATTTTGCTTTAAACAGTCAACAGCAAACATTAGCGCTGTAAACAACGATGAAGGATAATTCTCATCGAGATTAACATGAACTGATATTACCAGTGCATACCGAATGGCTAGCTCGAATAATACCATCAAATTCTTTATGCCGTTCGTTACGCTCGAAATTATCCAGAAATTTGTTAATCTGATTCCGTATCAAAGCAGTATGATCAAATATTTGCTCACCGACCAAACTGATATCTTCCATCAATGTAGAGATCGAAGCCATGACTGAAACAGCGACAGAAACCTAGCCAATTTTAGTAATAGAGAAAACATCGCAGAAGCTTATAACGTCATAAAATTGGATCCCGCTTACAGTAACCAACTTTCCACCATCTTCTCCTCTTGATCTAGGCAGAATCTTCTTAAAATTTATAAATATTTCTTTTTCAGGAAGTACCCGTCTATTTAGGTAAAACATTTAAAATGTTTGCTAAAAAATTCGGAAGCCGCTATCAGCATTATATGAACACATTACTATCAGATTACTTGAGAAGTTGCTCTATTACTGTTACAATGAAGTTGAAGCTAGCGGTGCAGCTTTGAAACTTTTGTTTATAATTCTTACCATTATCGAGTTTCAGACCACACTTTCGTGGTCTAATTTAGGAATACTTCTAAAACATAACATTTCTTGAGAAAATATAAGAGTTGAAATATAACAACCATAGTCTTGCAAATCTCGCAAAACAAAACAATGTACATAAATATTGCAAAATGCGGTACCCTAAGATTCAATTAGTCACTACTTACTTTGGGCTTATTATTTTTGCAATAAATCGACTTTTGACGGTTTTATAATTTCGAAGATTTGAGAAATCCATTCAGGATACACATAAATTTATAGAACTTTTACAAAATTCTATCCAGTAAATACGAAAGCAAAGTCAGCATATACTATGATAAACATATTGCATGAATGTAAAAGACACTGAAAATTAGGAATAACTAATTAAAGTTAAAAAAGAAAACAGAATAATAAAACACCACAGCAAATAAGCCAAACCGGTCGAAAGCTCAATGACATTTATACAATAGCAACAACTTCCCATCACATCAAATTTCTCAGAATCCTGTGTACGGTTAGATATCTTTGCCTACTGCAGACAGTATGAGAGTGAAAGAGAAACTAATACATAACGTTACTTATTACTGATGCTACAAAAAGATACTGTATGTCTACTCCGTCACTTTGTATTTTTCAGTGCCCGATTTGCTCATTATACATATATGCGGAACTTCTGGTTATAGTCTAATCCAAAGCCCACAACGAATTTATTCGGTAAGTCGAAGACAACGAAGTCTTCTTGCACCTGAAGACATAGACAGTTATAAAGCGTAGTATGCAACGTGACCTTCATAAACGTCAATATTCCCATCAGACTCATGTCTCCTTTATCATTTTATAATTCAAACTCCATCACATTTGTGTTATAAAATACGAAGCGAGATACTTCAGATTTCCTTCCGCATTTCTTGGATAGCAAAACTGCTGGTCCACCTTTGTTTCACACCTACTTTCTCCAGCGTTTTCAGAAGTTGTGACATCGTTACGCCACTGTTCACGATACCTTCTACGATCTATATTAATATCCCAGTTAAAGCACTTCACAATGTATGGATGAAACTAAGATTAATTAGTATAGCTTTTTGTTAGCAGAAAAAATTCCGTGATTTGATGATGCGTTTATTTACGGTACCTACAGTATAAGTGATATAACAAACATAACCAATCATTCAATTTTAAGAAACATTTCATTTAAAATAAAACTCACAACAAAATTAAGATAAAGATGAATTCTTACCAAAACATATTTTCCAGTTGTTTTGTATTTAAAATACCGATTATTTCCAACGTTCCCGAACGTTTTATATTCGCATAACTCTGAGACAAATACAGCATAAAAATTTACTTAAACACATAACTATCGGTAGCATATAGACCATGGTGTTAGGTCTTATTACTATTTCAGTACGTCATGCATATATATCAGGTAACGAGAAAAGTTTCCGGCGTTACTATAAAAGAACATTTAACAAAGTGTAGCAATTGCTTACTTTTCTACTAAATGAAAAGTAAGACCTCTGCAAGCCAATGACGAGTCTTTTATCAAGTAAGTTAATTGATATAACAGACTGAATCAAAAAAAAAAACCAATGAAACAAAGATGCCTAAGTCCTATATGAATACAATGGCACATGTAATATAATACCGCTAATTTGGAGCATTTCTACTTCTCAAATGGAAAATTATTCTTCTAAAGCTTTCTTTTCCCTCACTAATCTGTCAATAGACATGATCTTTTGGTCCTCTTCAAGATGTAACATGTATACCGTCAACTTTATACCAACAATAACACTAAAAATGTTGTAACGAACGGTGTGGGATCACTGTATTCCACTACATTATTGTGGGATAATGAAATGAAGTTAGTGATAACCTTAAGTCGGAGAATTCAATTTCCAGCAGATGTTTGCAGGATGTCCGGACATGAATCAACTTTTCGACTAATTACGTAGAAATCGAAAGGAACCAAAGTTTTTTTTTTTTCTAGAACACAAAATATTACCCACGGCTGCAACAAAGAAGTCCAATAAGCTACATAAATATGAAAAAAAATTAAAGCGACTTTCGACAAATTCTTCGTATACAAACATCTTGCTAACAATTCTCATCCACAATTTTTTGCATAATTCTGAAATGAGGAGGCACAGAAAGGTATAGGCGAATAATGAAGCAACATCATTTTACCACCGATGACTTGGAATATTTCTTGTGCAACACATTTAATTCGAACACTAATGAGACCTTTCAGTACCAGTATTGACTTCCACGGTAACAATTTGGAAATACGAATGATTCTAATTTAAAGTGAAAATTCCAGCAACCTCAAAACGATGCATTAACAGTAGACGTAAGGCGTGAAAAATGAATAAAGGTCATAAAATCTACATTATTTCTGTGAATCAGATTACCTCGGCATCATCTGGAATAGAAATCGCTGACGAATTCGAACCTTTTTCCATGGTTTTTCTGACGAAATAGTCTAAAAAATTACGCTGTACATTTCCAAAAATGATGCCATAATGCCGAGGCCTACTCATAATTCATGTTAATTTCACAATGAAATTATAAATTGATTAGGTCGTCTGCACCAACAATCTTTAAAAAGGTAGTGCGTATCATATTTTATAACATAACAAATAGACTATTGAACTTTTTTTATAAACAAAGCATTGAAGTAAGGAATAATAACAAAGTTCAAAAAATTCTTTCTGTAGAATCCGTAAAAATAACCATTCATTCTATGACAAGTAGCATGATAATCTCGAATTTGTCTAAGCTAAGCAATAAGAGTATAGCATGATAATCTAGAATTCGTCTAAGCTAAACAATAAAAGTACCTGGTGCTAGGGAACTTGACCTGGTGAGATCGGTTAACTTCTAAGCATATACTTGCAAGCAGCCTGAGAGTATAACAATACACCCAAAAAACAGCAAATTTCGTAATTATATTCAGAACAATTCATCAAAAATCCCAACCAGAACAATCCTTAATAATCTTTGCATTGGTTTTTCTCACTCGAACTAATGCGTTAGCCTTCCCTTTTACTCGCAAAGGTATCTTTTGCTTTCTCTTCATTTCTGCAGCAACGCGTTTTCGTACTATCTGAAACACCTGCGTATACCTTTTCACTTTACAACGCCAAATTTGAACATATTCGAGATTGGTAATATTTAGTCATTTTGAAAGTAATAAAATAAGCTACAAAAGTAAATACAATAACAAAAAAAGATCGAGGCGATCAAACATGAATACTCTCAGTTTACTGCTAAAGTCATACCTCTGGTGCTATTGTTGATCCCGTGCTAAAAACAGATTTCGCAATCACCCTATTTTCGAGCGATGCTGTGACTTGTTCCTCTTCATGTAACAGATTATTTGCAGGTTTTGAAGAGTTTTGAGTGGAATCAGTCGCGATTACTCCTGAAATAACATGAAGTTCTTCAGGAAATAAATTAGTAGACTAAAAATGTTTCACTAACCACAATGCTTTTCATTTGCGCTACATGAGCAGTCATCCAACACTCGACAGCTGTTAACATTCAGCTTTTCCAATTCATTCTGAGCATTCTTTATCCATTCCTTGAGCCTAAAAAGAATCGTATTAGAAACTAAAATAATCAGTTCGTACATATATACGAAAGTAACAGAGAAATGAAGAGTACGATAACATGCAGCAAGTAGGAAATAAAGATAAAAACGACTTTGACCATTTCATGAAGAATGCTGTTGATATATCAGAAGTTGAACTAAACACCTGCACATCCACATTACTTTGAAACAATACTAAACCTTAACAGTGGCGCAATATGTATTTTCATTTTAACATCACGAACCTATTATTACGACTATTATTGAGCACATTTTCATTCGATTCATCGATATCACCCTGAGAATCAGATGACTCCTCGCTACTACCATCTTCATCCGTGACAGTTGAAGAATCATCATCCTTCTGTACTTTTTCCAGAGCCTATAGGATCCTCATATTACAATGGAAACTTTTAACTCTACTAATTTGACGTACGCTAAACATTAACAAAATTTAAGTGGATAATCAGCCATTGAAAAATGTCACTTACTACCATGTAATAGCAAAGACTTCCTACGAAATTAAGTATGGCTACAAGAAGACCTTGTCGTAAGCTTTTGACATGCGAGGAGTAAATCCGCTAGCATTCACTTCTACATCGAGATTGTACTTTCTCGTCATTGCTTCGAACTTCGGATACAGTTCGCTTTCGTAATTAAACCTGAGAACATATATAATGCTTCAAACTCGTTTCGTGGATAGAAAAAAACAAAAAAATATATGATGGCTATAAACCAGTTTTCAAAGAAGAAAACACACCGTCTTTTAAAAAAGGTCCGAACGCAGCTTACATCCCTCTCGAAATAGAATTGCGCATTTGGATGATCCACACTGACCATTTGCGGTAAGTCGATTAATATCGGTTCTTCTTGCTGCAAAGGAAGTTTGCCTTTGCATATCAAATCTCCAAAAATAAAGAAAAATGTTACTGGACAGTGCAAATATTTCCTTACTTCAGTTAACATAATGTTGAATTCATTGAAATCACCGTGTATGAGCCCATAACGCGCTAACCGCACGATAATATTCATCAGTTTTTCATACAGTCCTTCTGTCTGAAACATAGTAAACACTGATTTTATAGACACCATATAGCTTAGAAGGAATTAGGACAAAAAAGTACCATTCCTTGAAACTTCAGTTTCCCATTATAGTCAAAACGAGCGAAAAAAATCTGATGCTGATGCTTACATGAACTTCATAAGGATTCAAATTCTGTTGATGAATTTAAGAAATTCTGTTCATCCCTATGAATAAAAAAATGATTTCAAGTTCTTCGAATTAAAATAAGATTGCAAATAGTAAACAAATAAATTGTGATAACAAGAAGTGGAAAAGCAGATTCTTCCAATCAGTTATTTGTACTATAACTTTATTTCTAAGTTAGACTGAATAATTAGTTCGTTTTAGTTCATTTTTTCCGTTTGTAAATATAATAAAAATCTCGAACAGGATTAAAAGGAAAAAATACCATACATCGTTTATTTGCTGCACATGGCAAAGCGTTGTACCGTTGATTAAATCCATAACAACCACATGACGACACCTATCGATTGGCCTTGGAAGTGGAAAACTGTGATCGTGTAATGCTGCAATAAATTAAAGAAATATATAGCTAATTTGGGAAACATAAAAGAGAATGCAATTATCACTAGACGTAGGATTGAATTACAACAGCTGAAAACAAAACAAAATTTAAGTTCTAAGTTAATAAATACCTTTCAGGAAAGCGAACTCTTTTGTTGCAGCTAGACTAGAAAGATAGAGCCAGGAGCATGATTTTCGCTTTTTGTGATAATCCCTCTTTTCCTTTAACTTTCGAAATGACGTCCTTCCTAATCTATGAAATTTCAACACTAAATCCTAAAAAATTGACCTGGAAATGAAGAGAAATACAGCAATAAATCAAACTGCTTAATATAATCAAAGACAAAGACTCATATTCTTTTATGGATCTTATATGCAGGTTGCTCTAACGCGAAGAGATATATTATAAATTTGAAGCTAAGCAGTTACATCTAAAACTGATGACGAAAAATGCTTCAAAACGAATCTTGATGAAACTAACATTAAGCTTTGGATCACCACCAACAAAAACATCGGACTCTTTGCCGACACCTATTTGATTGCCAACCGCTCCAACTACTTCCCGAGCACTGAGGGCTTTCAAAGCAAGAACATCGTAACCAAGTGTCGTTAAGCGATAACCATCATCTAAACCATCCTGCATATTTAACAGCTAAGTTAGATATACCATTCCTTGTATTAGAATTTTTGAAAATATTCTCATCATTTGACGTATATAGTTGAAAAATAGTTGAAAAACAAAATACACATGAACAATCCCACTTATCTAGTATATAAGTGATTCGGCTTTTATCTCATGTATTTTCTTTCTTAACATTTATGTTTACTGTTACAATCAACGTATTTGAGGTGACAATTTACAGCGTTTCCCACGTTCATGTGCAACAGTGCCATGCTTTGCTAAATCCGCAAGAATACGTACGACAGCACCGCGGTGTATTTTAGCAATTGATCCAATTAATTCCAGCGGTACTAATTCATGGTTTTTCATTCCCAGTTCCACCTGTAAAAAACTGCACCTATCATCAAACAAACTGAAATATCAACCTGATGTCTTCAACAATTCACGGTAATCAGTAAGAACCTTAGAAAACTAATGAGTATGTCACTGCAAAATAATATATAATTATGTGTAATTAGAAGACCGCAAGGAATAAAAGAACAAACCGCAATAAGGACCCGGAAATGTTCCTGTTCCATGTAACGAATTACTGTTATATTCATACGTCCCATATCTGGAACAAATAAGTGTAATAAGAATAGGAAATGTTCCGGAAGTACGATGAAATCATAATAACGTGGGGACATTCTTAGGATCACAACAGCAACAATATGTATAAAGACGCGAGATCCATGATATCATAAGAGATGGTAAAAGTATAATACGGCACAACTTGTCTTTTTCTTGTTCCATTGTTTTCGACGAGTACTCGAGTAATTACATGTGATTCAGTATTGTAAATCAATACTCGAGTAATCACATGTGACCTTTAACCTGGTGTTGTAAATCAACGAGCACATCTTTCTGCGCTAACCCAAGATTATACGAAGGAAAGAAACGAATTACACGAAACTGCTTTAAAGTAATTTGATATGAATGGAAGAATTGCTGCTTATCTGCGATTATTTGAAAGAAGAAATAAAAAAATAAAAAATAATTCTGGCGTATATTATAACTTTTGTAACATCTGGGAGAGTGAAGAGGTCAACAAAGCATCTATTCTGAGCAACAATATTTGTTACGAATTCAATGCATAAAATGAAAGAGCAATTCATCGCCGAACGACAAGTCGACAATCTTCTGGCCCACTGAAAGTAACTCGAACTTTGAAAAGAATGAACTCGGGAGCGACATCGGTGCAAGAATACACCATGAGAGTAATTTCCGGAAAAACTGCAACTGAACTCTAACGGAACTAATCATTGTGCGGACGTAAACTATACTTACTAACACTCGCAACATTAGTACGTCAACGCTGAACACAAAATAAAGACTTGTGCCTTACGTCTTCCTCCTTTCCTTGATTTTTTATTCGTTGTTTGACAGTACAAAAGGGAAATTTCCTCGATTATGGAACATGTTAGAATATGAAAGATCCACAGCATTTTGTACTCGCTGATATACACTAAATTAAATGAACATAACAAAGGCATAGTGACTAGAGTTAGTGAAAAGTTCTCGTACATAACAATGTCTGGAAGCTCATTAAACTTCAAGAGGTATATATTGAAACGAAATCAATCGAAGAATGGATTCCTTCGTATGGCCGATCAAATTAATTCTTGTAACTTGAGAAAGTAAAAGAAATTTGCAAATGTTGAAATTTCGAAGTTGAAACACGAAAAGTAAGAGAGATTATGTAAAAACAATGAGACCTACAAGATTTACATTGCGGAAAAGAAATACAACAGTAATGAAATCTAAATACAAATAAATTTTCGGAACAACTATTAACCTGACAATGGTAAAGGTATTTAACGCAATACTGGGAACGTGATGCAAGAACCAGTGAGAGATGACACAATAAGAGCGAAGTAATTGCCAAATCTCTACTAGAACCGTATTTCAATATTGCTTTCGGCAACAGTAAAGGGATATCAGAACCACAATCTGAACCAACGATTGGAAGTGGAATACTGGTGACAGTAACCTATTCTTTTTTGTTCACCCCTTTGTCACTGTCTCTTTCTTTTGTCCTCCATCATTCGTTCATTACCTTTTACCTGTTTCTTTTTCATTCAATCCGTTCTAAAAATGCCCATCTGATGATCCTCAAAATCTCCAAAACAGCCAAGCCACGCGTTTATCCGGAATAACAGTACCAGCAAGAAGTGAATAAAAGCACTGCATTCACTACTAAAAAGAGACTGGATTCTTTCGCATGGTGTATTAACTTGGAATAACGACGGGATGTCGCGAAAGATTTGTTAGTAGCATTGTGTAAGTTGAGATTTAGCAAAAATTGACTTACGCAATTGAGATACGATGTAATACCATCAGTAACGAAGTTTATCGTGGTTAATTTCTTAATAATACAGCAAGAATAAATGATACCAGTCCAAATTCGAAATATAAAAAAATTGACAATGATTAGAAGAGGCAAAAGAGATATTTGTATTAAGAAATGCAGTTTATTGGGAAACGATAATTCCCGCAAACTAATTTAAAGAAAAGAAGAATGAAGATAATTAAAAGATATAGTTAAAGATATAAAGGCGAAGGAGATCCTCATAATCCGTAATTGACCTTGCACAGCAGGAATTGTTTACAATATTGAGTAACATAGTAACATGTAATCAAGTAACATGCAAAATGCTAAAGACAATTCATATGATTCTTGGTGCACAAATCCAAGCACAAGATATTTGAGGGAAACTGGAAGAGCTGGCAGATTTCTAATACAGAGTAAATAGGCCTATGTTTATATAATTAAACGAGTTAACAAAAGGATGATGAAAGTATTTACAATAATTTCATTTGATCAATGAAAACCAACGAATAATTTTTTCATGGATTTATTTAATTTGTTTTAACATATAAATTTTTCCAATTTCCGACTACATTTATATTCATGGTGGTGCAAAGAATTGGAGCATTTTTCAAAATCTTCGTAAGAACGTCTTGATAACTGAAGTGTTCATTTTACATGAACAATGAACACATTTTGCATGAACATTTTCATGAACATAACAATTTACATGAACATTTTTACATGTTCATGTAAAATGAACAATGGTTACCTTGTAAATAAAGTCACCTATTTAAAAATAAATGCCGCCCACAACATTTCCAAATTTGCAGTTGTTATTCCCTCAAATGCTTTCAAATTCATTTTTCCCTGAAAAGTAACCGCCGTTTGTACGTGTGTCTGTGTGTTTGTTCATGTCTTATCCCTACATCTTTCCTGAAGACAGGATGGTTTAATCATCCTTCCATCTTTCCTTCTCTGTTTCATCATCCGGTTTTCCATCTATACCACTATGCTTCACCGCAGTATTAAACTCCGCCATTAATATTAATAGCATACCTGCACGTGGCTGCTTAATGTTCTATCATCAAACATTTTCCTAAATGCTTCATACTGTTTACTTTCGATACATCAATCATCGAAAATACCGGTAGTATTGATTAACGAATGCTCACTTTGATCATATTTTCTAGTCTCACCCTACCAACGGTTTTTCCACTCTTGTGTAATTTTACCTTCAAAGGTTTTCCAGTGTCTTATTTTCATTTCCCGGTTCCTATCTATACCGCTGTACTTCATCACAGTATTAATCTCCGCCATTAATATCAAAAAATATACCTGTATCTGGTTGCTTAATGTTCTATCTATCACATATTTTCCTACCGAAAGAATCAATTAACGAATGCTCACTTCAATCATATTTCCTAGTTTCACCTCACCAACAGCAAGTTTTCCCTTTGTGTAATTTTACCTCTAGAGATTCTTTTCAGTGTCTTAGTTAAATTCCCTTTCGCCAAAAGAGTAACACTTCCTATTGCTTCTGCAATATCTTTAAACTTCTTAAAAGATCAATTACAACCTAAAACTTAACAAAAAGTTCAATCGATCTCATGAATCTATCGAAATCCATTAATAACTGTTCCACTATTACAATCAGTATTTGAAATTTGCAACAACATTTTGTTGTCTCTTCTTTACAGTTGAGAAAAAGAACAAAAGGAGCTGAAAAAAAGTAGATAATAGTCGAAGCAAAAAAAGATGAAGAAAAAAATTTCAACCGTTCCACCATCACAATCAGTATTTAAGCAACGTTCTGTTGTCTTTTTTACAATTAACAAAAAATAAAAGAGCTGAAAGAAAGTGAAGATATGTTCGGATACGCCAAGTTATGATGCATCCAACCCCTCATAAATACCTCATCTAACCATATCCATTCCCATCAACAGTAGCTGCAAAAAATTCTCATTCTCTGTGTCTTTTCTAATGTTGAACACTCATCCTAAACATTACCCACATTTTCCAACTTCTTTTCGTCCAACAAATGAAATATTTTACCTATACCTATGTAACGTCAATATTTTAAATAGCAATTGAGATGTCTCGAGATCCCAATTTTCACCTAATAGTCCAAAATGTCATACATACAAGGTAATTCTACTCTATCAGTTTAAATTATAACCTTGAACCAAGCATATCCTGCAGGTGTCTCGAATAGCACCAACATACTTACCTGTAATAAACAATGTATGGTTGGTTGACAGGCCTACCGTCGTTAGGTGACACGTCAATGCAAGCAGTTCCCTGCCAACTAAGTCAGCACGAAACGCTTACATACATGCACAACACAAGCTCGTTACGTTTCCACCTCTCTCCCTATACCGACCTGTCCCAGTATGTTGCTTCAGCCAGGATAAATACCCAACCAGCCGTGAAATATTGCCCAGGCTGTTGTGTAAAAGGCTTGTGAAATCTGGTAATTGCTGTGGTTTGAATGACCGCAGGAGATAGGCGGGAATGGGTGAGGAATATTATTTCGAAATTCAACGGTGACTGGCGGTAGAGAGTGTCCCATAAGCTTAGTAAAGCCACCACTAAGGAATATATGAATGTTTTGCTGAAGTTATATTTGATCTCGTATTTTAACATTCTATGGCGGACATCCCAACATGCTCAAATTGTCTGAATTCAGTACTTACTTCATAACAGTGAGAAATTCAGGTTTTCAGGGCGAATT